GATCTCAGGGAAAGCCTCCTCCCCTCACCCTTGTGTCTCTGGTGTCCGTGGGGCTGACCCTCCCACCCAGCCCCCCAGGGACAACTGGGACAAATCCATCCCACCCCACGAGCTGTGCAGGGGACCCCCTGTGCCTCACCTGGGGCCTCAGCATTGAATGCAATCCAGCAGCAGCTGGCTTTCACGTGGTTCCCACAGGATGTGATGGAGCCTGCTCGGATCCCCCCAATCCATGCCTAGGATGGAGAGGGAAAACCCACGTCAGGAGCTGCCTCTGTCATGGTGGGGCCTGATGGCACGGACAGAGCACAGCTGGAGGGGAGACAACAGAGCATTGGCCCTGCATGGCCAGAGACCCTCAGCCCCAGCGGAGCTCCCACACTGATGGAGACCTGGAGGCTGCCAGTACCAGTGGGATTATGCCAGAGGCACATTGGTAGGGCCCTGTTCTCTGGGATGGCCGGGGCAATGTGGCTGCTCATGCTCCCAACACAAGGTGCAATCCCTCGCTGGAGGGGCTGGAGGATGGCAGGCAGGAGCATCCTGGCTCTCAGCACTGCCTCTCCCCAAAACTGTCCCAGCCCTGGGCTCTGCCACTGAGGGGAGGGCTCAGAGGACTTTGTGAGAAAAACTTATGTCAGGGAGTCTGGGATGGCACAAAAGCTCTTGGGTCAGGCTGTGGCTGTCCCAGGCCAAGCTTCCTGCACAGACACGCAGCCAAGGAACTCCACGACAGCTCCAAATCCAAAATCCCACAGTACAGTAGCGGGAAACATCCCACTATGACTCCACAGCTGGGCACTGTACCTGTGGGGCACTGAGACACCCTGCATCAGCCAGACCTGCTCAGATATCCAGCCTCAAGTGCCCCCCAGGACCAGGAGCTTCCTGGCACACCCAGGGCCAAGTCCAACCCTCGAGCAATGGCAATGGCAGGTGTTCCATGGGGTGCCACCATGCCTGTGTGCCCACGGCAGCCACTGGCATCACGGAGAGCTGCAGCAGGTGTCTGTAGCAGCAGGTGTCTGGAGTGGTGGATACCCCACAAAAACAGGCAGACACCCTCGAAGGGGAGGGAGCTGAGTACATGAGCCCTGGGTTTCCTCTCCTTGCACAGCTTCCTTTTGAGGCCTGACAGGGAGCAGCGGTTCCTGCAGCACTTCCTGCAGCCCTCACAGCTTGATACAGACCTCTTAACCCTTTACCTGCCAAAGGGAGGTTCCTCTGCCTGCACCTGGTGGGTGGGCAGGGGGCTGCAGTAGGGATGGGGAACAGGTCTGGAGCATGAGCAAGACCCAGGAGGAAAGGTCCTACTGACTGCATCCCATCACTCTGCACTGGTCCCTCGAAGGGGGACACCAGCCACCTCTGGTCCCCAGGGATACCACACAGGACCCCTGCACTGAGCTTTCACAGAGGGACCACTGAGCTGGTCCATCCTGGCCCCACAGCTTCCCCGTGTACAGGCAGGAGCCCTCAGGGAATTGATCCTTCCCGCAGGGTGCCAGCACGGCCAGGAAAGCAGATGAAACCATCTACATCCCTAGAACAAACTGTGAGCTCTCGGGGGGCATTTGCCAGCAGAGCCCCCGCAGATGCTGCCTGAAGAGACTCAGATGAGATCCCTCATGTTTACACTGCGCTTCCTGATCCAGGTCAGGTGTCTGCCTGAGCCTCCACAAACAACCCGCTCAGCCGGGGACCGAGCAGTGTTTCCTGCTGTGACACCTGAGATGGGCTTTGAGACGAGACATCCACCTCCCACCTCCTGGCCCACAGAGCTGGGTGGTGTGGCCTTGATTCCCAAGGATATGTTTCATGTTGGATGGCCTTTTGGAAAGGCCACCTTGCACAGGGGATGCCTCCTTGCACACAGGGGCAAGAGCCTGCTGTCCCTCAGAACAACCCCACCCTGGGAACCGACCCCAGTGCAGTGGTGATGGGGATGTCCCTGCCTGGAGGATGCTGTACCCACACAGCCAAGTGTCCCAGCACCCACACCCCACAGGCACACACGCTCTGCCCTGCCAGGCGTTCTTCTGAACCCTGAGCTTTGCAAACGTTTGTCCAGCTGAGATGCCACCTGCCCTGCACGGATGGGGGGATGCTCAAGGCTGGGACAGTGGTGGAGGCCACTATGTCCCCTCCTACAGCTGAAGCTCTGAAGGATGTTTTGGGTGCTTACCAGGTCTGCAGAGTTGTGTGAGCACAGGTATGAGGATGGCTTGGGAAGTTACAGGGAAGGAGCGCACTGACATCCAAGGGCTGGGAGCAGCACCAGCCTCACTAATGGTCACGGTGCTGAGGGGATGCTGGGAGTCCCCAGACTGGGGAACCCGCGGAAGGGCTGTGTCCTGATAATGCTCCTCGATGAGGCTCATCTGGCACAACCCACCCCTGAGCCCACGTCTGCCAAACCTGCAGGGACAGGGATCCAGGGGAACTCCCTGGCCAAGCTTGTGGAGAGCATGGCAGGATTACCCACTGACAACACCATGCAAAGAGTTGGATCATGACACTTGGCACGATTGGGGCTGGTTATTCATGGGGCTGAGACTGGAGCTGGACACCACATGTTGCCCAGCGAGACCCCCCAGACCTGCACGGCCTCAGCAGTGCCGAGCTGTGCAGCCCACGGGCAGGGTGATGGAGCTCAGCACCATCCCGTGGGGCCCAGTGCTTCCTCTTTGCCTGCGGAAGTGGGGTGGTAGGAGCAGGGTTGCAGGAGCGAGGTGGCAAGAGCAGGGCCCAGCATTTCACGCTCAGGGTGCATGCTTCCCAGCTGGGTAAGCCCGTGCTGCCCAAGGGCCGAGCACAGGTGAAGCATCGAGCCGAGCTGGGGTGGTAGGCAGCAGGAAACGGGGATGAACTGCCTGCGGCCACCCCTGTCCAGCGGCAGGAGGGTGCAGCGCCACGGGATAGGTACCCCACGCCAGCAGCTCCCGGCCGGGGGTGCTGCACCGCCCCGGGACAGAGCTAGGGCTCCCCACCACACCCACCTGCGGAGCGCCCCGGGGCCGGGAGCCTCTGGTGCCAAGGCGTGCCAAGGAAGGGCCGCCGGGGCCACGCACCCGCAGCGCGGCCGGGGGACCCGGGCACGGCCCTGCCGCACCGGCCGTGCTGCAGCCGCGGCAGCTTCAGCCGCGCCCTGCCGGTGCCATCCAGCGGGGCCGCTCCTGCCCTGTCCCTGTCCCTGTCCCTGCCCCTGTCAGTGCCGTGCCCGTGCCCGTGCCCGTGCCCGTGCCGGCCGGCAGCCCCGGCCCCGCCGCCCCCGCCCGCACGGTACCGCCCGGTCCTCCGGCGCTCACCTCCCTGCGGGGCAGCCGGGCCTCGGTGTGCCGGAACTTGGACGCCTTGAAGCGGTTCATGGCGCTCCGGTCGCGCCGCACCGAGCCCTGCCCGGCCCAACCCAGCCCAGCCCAGCTAGGATAAGCCCAGCCCAGCCCAGCCCGGGCCGGCCCCGCAGCTCCGCCCGCCCCGGGGCTGCCGCCGGTGCCGCCCTCTGGGTCCCGACACGCCCCCGGCACGCCCCCTCCGGACCCCCCGCCCCACGTGTGCCCCCTGTCCCCGCTGTCACCGTGAGTGGGGCACAGACCCCCACCCCTGACTCTCCGGGACCCCCGTCAGAGCCTCTAGCCCCGGCGTCGGAGCCACTCCGGCCGTGACTGCCCCGAGGGGTCGCCAGCCCCTTCCCTGTCTCCCGCAGAGGGTCGGGGTCACCGGCCCCAGGGGCACCCCGGGTTGTCACTCCTTGTTGTCACCCAGCTCTCCTGCCAGACATGGGCAGGCGTTTCTTCGGGCTGTGGGCAGGGAGGATGGGGGGAGCGGGAGGTTTCCAGTCCCGCAGCACAGTGTCCTCAGCCCTTCCACGGCCTCGCAGCCGGCGGCGAACAGAGAGCTTTGTGTGCACACACAGCTGCCGGGGGGAGGGAGGAGAAGGGAGCCCTGGATCTGAGCCCACTGAGCCTTCTGGGCCCGGCTGTGCCATCACCCACGTCTGCTGGAGCCTAGGTCTCACCCATGCCTGGCAGAGCCCGGGTGTCACCCATGCCCGGTGGAGCCCAGGCCTCTTTCCCTGCTCTCACCCGGGCTGTGACACGCCAGCAGGAGCCGGCAGCACCTGACACATCCCCCTCCCTGCTCAGCCCCGCTGCCGCGGCCTCCCACGCACCGCCGGGCCGAACCTCCGCTGAGCAGCGCTCGGAGGCGCCTGGTGACGGAGATGGGAGAGAGACGCACTTGGCAGGAATTATCCTGCTCCCCAGAGAAAAGCTGCTGCCTCAGTGTGGGCGGCGTGTCAGGACAGGCGGTGCGTCAGTGTGGGTGCTGTGCCAGGGTGCTGTGCCAGCACGGTGTGTCAGGGTGGGTGCTGTGCCAGGGTGCTGTGCCAGCACGGTGTGTCAGTGTGGGTGCTGTGTCAAGGTGGATGCTGTTTTATGGTGGGTGCTGTGTCAGGCTGGTTGCTGTGTCTGGGTGCTGTGTTGGGGTGCTGTGTTACGGTGGGTGCTGCGTTTATGGTGGGTGCTCTGCCAGGGTGCCGTGTCTGGGTGCTGAGTTATGATGGGTGCTGAGTTATGGTGGGTGCTGTGTTATGGTGGGTGCTGTGTTATGCTGGGTGCTGTGTTATGCTGGGTGCTGTGTTATGCTGGCGCTGTGTCAGAGTGGGCGCCGTGTCCCTGCAGCCGCTGTGGTTTCAGAGCCTTTCTTCCCGACCTATGACAACATTTCCCCTGCCAGGGGCACGAGAGCAGCCCTGGAAGGGCGCAGACCCCCGTCCCGGAGCAGTGGGCAGGGTTTTCCATGCCCAAGCGCCCTGCAGGGGGTGCGGCACGGCCGGGCTGGGCGGTACCTGTCATTCCCGGCCTGGCCCGGCCGGGAGCTCTGAGGGCCCGCGGAGCTCTGAGGGGGCTGGCACAGCGACCCCTCCGCCCCAGCCCAGCCCCGCGCAGGCGCGGCCCGGCCCCGCCGGGGCTGTGCGCAGGCGCGCCCCGCGGGTCAAGATGGCGGCCGTGAGCGCGTCGCGCTGGGTCGGGGCGGCCGCGGGGCGCGGGGCGGGGAACGCGCGGCCGCCGCTGCTGCTGCTGCTCCGCGGGCTCCGCGGCCCGCCCGCCCGCGCCCCGCGCCGCCTCCTGCTGCTCCGAGCCGGGCTCTGCGCCGCGGGTGAGCGGGGCGGTGGGGCAGGGACGGGGGGCGGCGGGGCGCGGGTCCTTCCCCCGGCCGTGTCCCTCCTCCCACCCGGCCCGGCCCTCAGCGTGGCCCCTCTCTCTCCTCTCCCGCAGGGACGAAGCGTGCTGCCGCCGCCGCCGCCTTCCACAGCAGCGCGGCCCGCGCCAAGGAGGACTATTACCAGGTGCTGGGGGTGCCCCGCACCGCCACGCAGAAGGAGATCAAGAAGGCCTATTACCAGGTGCGTCCGGGCCGGGCTGCCTCGGTGCCTGTCCGGTGGGGCAGAGAGCAAATCCTCCCTTGAGATCCCCGCTGGAGACACGGGGAGGGGGCAGTGGGACAGCTCAGCACACGGCGTTGGGGATCTTCTTCCAAAGACCCCTGGTCTGCCTTTGGTGTCGCCTCGCGTCTCCTCCCAGAAGGATCTGGCCTTGCTGGGAGGATCAGGAGCAGCTCTTGTAGTTCCTTATATTGGGTTGATAGTGGAAAATAAAGGGATTTAGTTCCCTGAAATAGAGGTGGTGTATGCTGAGCTCTGCCCAACGAGTTTTTCCTGGCATGTGAGATACACTGCAGTAAATAACTCCTTGCCTGTCTCTAATGGTTTGTTTTTGTTGTTTAGTTGGCAAAGAAATACCACCCTGACACAAACAAGGATGACCCCAAAGCGAAGGAGAAGTTCTCTCAGCTGGCAGAAGCCTACGAGGTAACAGCAGGGCTTCATCATGATGATGAGGAGGAAAGGTTGGAGGGTAGATGAGGGCAAACGTTTCCTGTAAAACCTTGGCTGTTTTTGGATACACTTCAGGCTGGAACACCTCTGTCCCAGTGGTGTCTCCAGAAAATTACTTCGCCCAAGTATCTGATTTAGGTGCTTTGGGCTCTTTCAGTTTGTGCTCTTCCTTAGCAGTGAGTCACTGGCATGGATGCAGCAGTCACTTCCATGGGATCATTGTCAGCTTAAAATAAATAATCAAATAAAAACCCTGTCAGTAGGTGTTTGAGACAGAGGAACCTTCACTGTGCTTCCCCAGCCCTGGTTTTTTTTTTTTACCCCAGCACTGTTAGCAGCTTTCACCTGATATATTCATGACGGATTACATAACCCAAGTTGCTCTTGCTTATTAAACATCAGTAAGATTGTAATTTTCCTGGTTTTGAGCTGAGAGAGGAACAAGCAGCTCTCGGTGCTGAGAGCTCAGCGAGCCCCCCTGACGGCAGGAAAGTCTGATGAGCGCTGGCTCATGGGGGCAGTGCCAGAGCCAGGGAATCTCCAGGCCACTGGGGATCCACACCATGCCCAGGTGGCACCGTTGTGTCCCCCCCAGGTGCTGAGTGACGAGGTGAAGAGGAAGCAGTACGATGCCTACGGCACGGCGAGCTTCGAGGCGGGCGCGGCGGGGGCCGGCACCGGCGCGGGGCGGCAGTACTGGAGCGGCGGCCCCTCCGTGGATCCCGAGGAACTCTTCCGCAAGATCTTCGGGGAGTTTTCGGGGTCCCCTTTCGGCGATTTTCAGAGCGTCTTCGACCAGCCACAGGAGGTAGGAAGTGCCTTTGTTTAGAAGTGGAATTACAAACTTCAGAAGCTGGGGAGGGACACGCTGGTCTGTGTCACAGAGCTTCAGCAGAGAGTTATTTCTGGGAATGTCAATCTGTGAGTGTCCCATGGCATGGGGGGAGAGTCAGACTTTTGGTAAGCTGCATCTCCAGACAGAGTTATTTTTTCTGGACTTGAGCTACTCCCTGTGGTGTTTACTGACACCAGTCGCTGCTGCCCAGCAGTTCCATCGCTGTAGAGGCACCTTTGCTGCTGCAGGCTGGTTTACATATGCCTGCTGTGATCTGCAACGCCAAAACCCACAAAACACCTTGTAACTATAAACCAGGCCTTCCAGCCATAGGTTTGGCTGCTTAATTGGTTTAATTTTGCAACTTAATTAGTTTAACTTTGCAGTGGAGCCCATAATAAAACACAGCGTGTCTTGTTCTTTGTGCTGCAGCTGAATGCTCCTTTAAGTGTTGTTACTTCATGTGCTGTCTTCAAATACCAACTGCTTCTGGTACTTCTGGCTTTACTAAAAGTGACCTTTTTATTATAAAGAGAATGTCCTTTTAAGTGCAGTCATCTTTGCTGATGACTTCCCTTGGCAAAGGAAAAGTTTACTGGGGAAGAGCAGCTACTACCATCGGGATGGAAACCCTTCAGCCTCACCTGTTGCTGCATTCCCATGAAACAAAACCTTTAGAAACAAAGAAGGGGTTTTCCTGAGAGCAGGGAAACACTTCTATTTTCACTCCTTTCTTTTCTATTTTTAAATCTTGTTGCTGCTACACAGCATTCTCATAAAAATTCTCGTTGTTGCTACACATAAGCCTGATGCTTATCAGGCTGGTGTAACCATCATTTCTATAATGTCTGTGATCCTTTTGCACCTCTCTTTTATTTATTTGAGATAGATTACTGATTCTTTAGGTTAGGCAAACCCTTCTGAACAATTGTGCATCAATCTGTTTCTTCCCCCCGCATTGTTTGGTATTTGGCCGAAACCAATCTGTTTAAGGCCCTATCACACATCAGTCACAGATCCATGTCTGTGTTTCCTGTGCAGTATATCATGGAACTGACATTCACCCAAGCTGCAAAAGGTGTTAACAAGGAGATTGTGGTGAACATCCAAGACTCGTGTGAGCGGTGCGATGGCAAAGGGCACGAACCGGGCACCAAAGTGCAGCGCTGCCACTACTGCAACGGCACAGGCATGGTAAGTGCTTTGTAGGACACCAGTTCTGCTGTGCTTTTCCTTGCTGGGGCAGATCAGTTCGTTCCATGGTGAAAAATTCTCACCACGGTCAACAGCTGATCTCAGGTAAAGCTGAGTTAATGTCAGCTTGATGCTAATCGGCCCTAGGAGGATTTTCTCAGTGTTACAGAAGTGCTGTGCTCAGCTGAAAGCACGGGCCTTCAGGCTGGATTCTCTGCTATTGTACAAAGCAAATTCATGCCATGTAATGGCTCTGAAATTCCTTGGGCATTAAATGGGATCCTTTGACTTGGGGGTGGAGGAAGGTAATGATAGCCCCAGGGTAACCTTGAAGTAAAGAAGATGCAGGTAATGATGGAGCTGCCAGGCTTTGAGTTTCCATGCATCTGATTCCTCATGTGCTGTGGTCTGGAGGGCTGCTCTCACAGTTCACTCCAGAGCTTAGTCTCCATAATGTTTTCCTGGACACTGGCAGTAATTCATGCAAGTGGATCATCCTTGCATTCCTCAGAACACAGATGCCTATAGCACTGCAAAGAACTTTGTTCCTTCTTGTGCATCAAAGGCTAGAGACAGAAGGTGTTGTGCTTCTCTTTCCCCTGCTTGCAGTAGTGATGGTGTTCAGTGGAATTCGGAATGGGCTGGCAAATGAAGCTCATCCAGCTTCTCCCAAGCAGCATCCTCTCGGGATTTCAGAGCCAGCTTCTTGCTCCAGCCCTTGCTAAAGAACATTGCTGTCCTTACAGGCTGTGTGTGTGATTAGAACTCCAGCGTGCTGGGTGAACAGTACCACCTTGGTACTCACTGTGCAATCTGCTTCCCTCCCCAGGAGACGATAAACACGGGCCCCTTCGTGATGAGATCCACGTGCCGGCGCTGCGGCGGCCGCGGCTCCATCATAACCACGCCCTGCGTCGTGTGTCGGGGAACGGGGCAGACCAAGCAGAAGAAGACAGTGATGGTTCCTGTGCCAGCTGGTCAGTGTTGTGCTCGTGTGCTGCTCTCTCTTAAATGACTGTAGTTATTTGCTGCCACTTGGCCAACAGGTACGAGTGCAAGAGAACTGAAGGAGTTTTGCTGCAGAGAAGTTGTCTTTGAAACAGAGCAGGTCAATGGAACGGGCTAGTGATGAGATGAACCTTCTGGCCACGGGTAGAAATGTTCGCTTTGCCCTTCCTGGGCTTTGGTTCTTGTCTGGATCCTCCTAGGCAGGGTTGGAAAAGTGAAACTCTCCGAAGGTTTTGTTGCATGGGGAGAGGGTGGGAGTCCTGAAAGCCTTGGCTGGGCTCAGGAAGGTGTGCTGATGGCCTTCCTCACCAGAGAGGATGAAGCAGTGGTGGGACTGAAGACTTCTTTGAGACCACCCTGGGTGAGCAGCCTGGAGTTTTCCTGCAGCTCGTGGAGGCTGCTGTGTTCTTTAACCTGATGCATTTCCCTGAAGGATTCTGTAGGGATTGAACCAGTGAGCCTGCATGGGGCATAATGATCACCTCGGAGGCATAAATACCTTCTTCCTTGGGCCACAGCTCCTGTGGAGTGTCCCTGTGCTGCCTGCTGGGAGATCTCCTGCCTTGTGCTCCGGGATGTGCATGTGCTGCAGTGGTGGGCAGCTCCTGGGATTGGCAAGGCTGCAGATACACGTGTAACACGTGGATTGTAACCCAGGGTAACATTCTCTCTGTTCCAATCGCAGGAGTTGAGGATGGGCAGACAGTTCGGATGCCTGTGGGGAAGAAGGAAATTTTCATTACGTTCAGGGTATGTATTGTAAGTTGTATGTATTTAAGTTGTTTTTTTTTTTTTCCTTCTCAACTGCCTGGGAAGTGGCTGCAGAATGGGCAGAGAAGGAAGAGTGAGTGATCCTTTGGAGTATCTGACATAACACTATCCATGTAAACTTTCTGAGACAGCAGGAGACCTGCATTGTAACAAGGGAGGTTACTTTGAATTTGCTCGTGAAGAATCCAGCTACTTTTTCCAGGACCAGGCCCTTAGGGTAGTGTGAATAAAAATGCAGAGTAGGTTCTTCGTGCCTCCAGTTTTTGACTTGGAAATGTGAAGGAGCTGCCTGCAGGCAGGGATGAGAGTGCTGAGGAGGGCTGTGGGCATGCCTGCTACAGGCTGGCTGGTCGAGTGTCCTCCTGCAGATCCACCTTCAGGGCTGCTTTGCACCTGGGCTGTAGCTGGGCCTCTTCTCCTTGCAGAATCCTGTCACACACATCTCTGCCAAGGAAAAAAAATTTTTCAACACCTCTTTTGTGGTGCAGGAGGATTTAATTCTCTTCCAGCATGTGAGGCCACTGCAAAGGTGCTTCCCTCCCTCTTCCCTTCTGGCTTTCTCCTGTTCAGGATACTGGACAAGGCAGTGTCTGTCTCTGCAGACCCATATTGACACAGATAATTTAATAGCAGCATTAGGGGAGGGAGGTGCTGAGCCAGGAAGCAGGGATCCTCCTAAGCTTTTGGCTCATTATGGTTGTGTCAAGATCTGCGTTTTTCTAAAAGACCAAATATTAACTCACAGTTCTTAGATGAGCAGCTTGTGGATTGTATAAAGGGTCTGGCTGGTCTGTTTTCTTCTGAGACCCTTCAGAGCAGTTTACCAGGAGAACTTCGTGGTGGTGTGGTCACTTCACCTTGGCACTTCCCTGCCTTTTAGGTTCAGAAGAGTTCTGTGTTCAGAAGAAATGGAGCAGATATCCACTCGGATCTCCTGATCTCAGTGGCACAGGCTGTGCTGGGAGGCACAGCCCGATGTCAGGGCTTGTACGAGACAATCAACATCACAGTAAGTACCACTTTGTTGGGCATGAATCGACGGGGAAAAGGAGGGGAAAATCTCTGAAGTCTGCCAGTATCATGTTTCAGATTCCTTCAGGATTGAGCCTCGGGTAGTTTGTGACCTGCTGTGTCACAGCTCCTTTCTTGTCACTGTGAAATGACAGGGAAAGGATTGCTGGACAAATCCCATCCAAGGCCTACAGGCTGTGCCAGGTTCTTTACTCATTCCTCCAAAAGCTTTTCCATCATGACCGACACAGCTTCAGCATGTGTCCTGAGTGTACCAGAGCTCCCCCATCCTACTTTGAAGCTTGCTGGAGAAGTAGATAATTTTTATAGACACCTAATTACTATATAAATGGTTAAAACTAGGGTGATAAATGTGATATCTGTTTTCATAGATACCCCCTGGTATTCAGCCAGACCAGAGAATTCGGATGAGTGGGAAAGGCATTCCCAAGGTCAACAGTTACGGCTACGGAGACCACTACATCCACATAAAGATAAAAGTCCCTCAGTAAGTAGAGCTGAAACAAGTTTCTGCAAAATCTCGAACCTCTTGCAAAAAGACATTCAGAATTTTGTGAAAATTCTTATTCCTTACGGTTCCTCTCGAGCGCTTCAAAATATTTTGTGATTTTCCCTGCAGTGGAGCGAAGTGCAGCGGGTCCTGTCCCTCCTCTCCCACTGTGTGGTTATTGTTTATGGATGGCTCACTGTAGGGATCCCCGGTGTGTTCCAGCTGTGTTCATCTTGTCCTTCCAGCACCTGCCTCTCGTGGGTGCTGCTGGAGAAGGTTCAGGAGGGCTGTAGGCACGCCTGGCCCTGAGGACAGCCCTAACCATGCCCTGTGTTGGGCCCGCAGGAGGCTGACGGATCGCCAGCGAGCCTTAATGATGAGCTACGCGGAGGACGAGACGGACGTGGACGGCACAGTGAACGGGGTCACGAACACAGCGTCAGGTGAGCGGGGGGAACTCCTGCTCCTTCCTCGGGGGGAATTCCCGCTCCTTCCTCGAGGAGCTGCTGTGGGAGTGCACGGCGCTTCCCAAGGGCTCCTGGGGAGCAAGGTGAGCCAGGGTCACCTTGAGGTGGTGTGACAGCACTGCCTGCCGAGCGTGGTATTTTGGATATAGTTGTGGTGTGGTGTTAACGGGCTGTAGCACAAAGCAGGGAGGCAGCCTCTTCCCAGGAAGCTTTACTCCAATACTTGACAAATCTCTGTGAACAGAGAGCAGGGACTGAGGTACTCAGGGTCCTGACAAGCTGTGGTGATGAATGCCTCCTGCTCCCTGCTTCCACCCCTGTGCCAGGACTCTCCTTAGTAGCAGAGGTAGGAAAAGACAAGGTCCCTCAGGCCAGTTTTCCATGTGAGTCCATCTGCTGTGCTTCTGACTCTGCAGCAGGATGTTTCTCCTGGAATGCTGATGGGAAGTTCTGCTGTCAGGCTGTGCTCTGGGCACGTGGGGGAACCTGGGGTAGGAGTGTCCTTTGGTGCTGAGTGTTGGCTCTGGTCAGTAGACTGGGATGGAGGAGCAGAGTCAGCTGGGAGCTTTGTGAAGCTGCTCTTCCAGCTCCAGATGGAAAACTGAGATTCAGCAATTGTTTTAAGTTTCTGGGGTGAGGTACCTGGCAAGGACAGCAGCTAAAGGCAGAACACGTGGTAAAATAGTAAGGAAGGAGCTTTGTCTTGCACTACTGGAAAACAGTTTTTCCTTGCTTAATTGGGACAATGAACTTTTTAAAGCCTTTTGGTTTTCTTTTTTGGCTTGAAACCAAACAGGGCATTTAAGACTAAGCAAAGATGGGAGCCTTTCAGAGCTGCTCAGTGATCCCAGGAACTCGGGTCTGCTGTCCTACATGCCAAAACTTCAGGAATATAGGCTCGGGTGTGGGATATTGGAAGGCAGCACCTGCCAGATATTTCCCAGTGTTCTGTTTTATAGTGCTTTCCTAATACAGAAGTTATGTCTTTCCCGTGTTACAGTCACCCATGGGGGGAAGGGGAGAGAGCTCTGAGCACAAAACTTCCATCCTGGCTTTTTAAAGGCATTTATGTGCCAAAGGGGAAAAACCACTCTCCAAACTAATTTTTTTAAAAAACAAACCCTCCAGTTTTTACCACGATGAAGCAGCAAGGTGGATTAAAACAACTGCCAGTAGATTGCAGTGCAGGGACAGGCTGTTGCTGAAGGTGTGTCCTCGCTCCAGGCAGCAGCAATGCAACGCCCCGGGTGGACAGAGGCGTGTTCTGCCTCGGGATTTCATTCCATTGCATCAGTCTGAGCCCGGCACTCAGCCCTGGGAGGATGGGGAGTGCTGGACTTCATGTTCTCTGTGTGCACAAAAAGCTTTAGGAGGATTTGGGGGTCTTGTTATTGATGGTTTTACTGTAGAAAAAGCAGATTAG